CACCACTCAGTTTGTACATCCCACACTTTCCATTCAGGTTAAAATAATAACTTGCTGGTCTCTCACCCACAGCCCTTCAAAATCATTTCAGTGCTCATGAGAGTTAGTGACTGAGAGAAAAAAATTATACAGTCATACCTTGGTTTTCAAACGGCTTCGTTCTTGAACGTTTTGGCTCCCAAACGCCACAAACCTAGAAGTGAGTGTTCCGGTTTGCGAACTATTTTTGGAAGCCAGACGTCTGACTTCTGTGGCTTCTGATTGGTTGTAGGAGCTTCCTGCAGCCAATCAGAAGCCACACTTTGGTTTCCTAACATTTTGGAAGTCAAATGGAGTTCCGGAATGGATTACGTTTGATCCCCCTGCCCCTCCCTGGCTATGCCCATGGTGGGAAGGATCACCCTACTGCCAGTCACCTGATCTTGTGAACCACCCCAAGATCTTTTGATGAAGGACGGTATATAAATCTAATAAATAAAATAATAATGACATGAAGTCACCCGTTTTCCTTTGCCCACATGGTTTGAAATCAAACTAGTGAGCAAACTGGTGATCAACTGATAGGTGGCTTGCAAAGCCCAGTGCTCTTTCAAGAGCTGCCATGATTATCTGTGCTTACAAGGGCACAGTGCAAATTTATATGCACACATTAAAATTTAGAAACAATTACTGTAATTTAAAAAGAAATGCAGTGCTCTCAAACTCCAGCAAATCGGCTTTTAAATAGTACCCTGATTCCTGTAGGTGAGCAAGGCTGACCTCTGCAATCTAATTATTTAGCAGTGTTATCTGGTGACCTGGGAGGGTAAGAAGACATCCCAGGGTGCACAACTTGGGCTGGAAGAAGCACATCACTGCATAAAGGAAGCTCTGATTTCAGCACCACCTATGCTTGGAAAGGACACAGGTGGCTCTAGGGCTTGCTGATCAGAAGGTCAGCGGTTTGATTCCCCACGACGGGGTGAGCTCCCGTTTTTCAGTCCCAGCTCCTGCCCACCTAGCAGTTCGAAAGCACATCAAAGTGCAAGTAGACAAATAGGTACTGCTCCGGCAGGACGGTAAACGGCGTTTCCATGCACTGTTCTGGTTCGCCAGAAGTGGCTTAGTCATGCTGGCCACATGACCCGGAAGCTGTCTGCGGACAAACGCCGGCTCCCTCGGCTGACAGAGCGAGATGAGTGCGCAACCCCCGAGTCGTCCACGTCTGGACCCAACGGTCAGGGGTCCTTTTACCTTTATCTTTGCTTGGAAAACAGGCTAAAATTTAGCAAGAATTGCTACTGGCAACTTCTGTTTATCTCAAAGGTCTTCTTTGGATTAAATATATTGGAGTCATACAGGTATTATGCAAGGCCGAATAAAGCAATGTCACACAACATTACTATCACATTTCTTCCACAAGGGCTCGTGGATTGTACCCCATAAGCAAAAGAAGATGTTGTTTAAATTCTTTCCCATATTTCCCCTGCTTGTTTACTTTTATTGTGCCTTTTCTAGGAAACAGGATTAATTTGATTTCTTGGCTTTCAGGTGTCTTTTGCTCTCCAGGAAAACTGTTAGATTAAAGCAAAGCATTATCTTTGCCAGTCTCCTAAAGAACTGGGGACATTAAAATTCTGATCCTTAATCCATTTCTTGAAAGCAAGCCTAACTGATTTTAATATAATGTGTGTGATCTAGGCAAAGTTAGGCTCTTTTATGTCCCACTGATTTCCATGAAAGAGAAAGCGAAGCACATTTAATTAATATATGCAAGTGAGCAATTATCATTTTTTACCCTCTGGGGCATGTGAAGCTTAAATGTGCGTGCCTGTATCTGAGTCTTCCTAATTGTACTTTAAATATTTGCAGTGGAAGCCCAACCCAGATTACTGGTGGTGGCAGCCTTGTGTGAAGCATCTCTCCTCTAGCTGCTGCCATTGATTGGAGAAGATTGGAGGATCTTGATTGGAGGAAGGAGGTTTCTCATCTTCTTCAGTGTTCCCCGAGTGGTCAATATCTAGTGAATGTGTGCAGAACTGTAGACCCAGGCTACAATCTTTCCCCACCTACTGGGGAGTTAATTCCATTGAAAATGGGTCTTACTAATGAGTATTTGTCAGGGGTGCCTCAGGTCCCAGCTCACAAAGGACCAACGCCAGTGTCTCTTTATATACAAAGGTCTTTATTGAAGTTCATTGTTGGTTTTACATCCGTGGCGCGCATCCCTACGTCTGTAACTCTAGACCGCCGAAGCTCCGTCTGACTCTTCCCCTCCCCTACACCAGTTTAACACCCGAGCTTTGCTCCACCTCATCCTCTGCTCTTTTCTCCTCTGGGTCCTCCTGCCCCCTGGGGTTCCACCCCTCCTGGACTCTTCGGAGGCGGATTCCTCTGACTCCTCCCCCTGTCTCCGGCGGGCTTTGGGACCTGGCTCCCAATCCGGATTTTCTGCTGACCCGCGCGCCTGCACATTTGAACTTGGTGCGCGCGCCCAGCCGGCCACTTTCCTCCTAACGGCTACACTGCTCCTGTCACTGCTTCCTCCTTCGGAGGGGCTGGCTGGAACTGTCAGGGAACTGCCATCGGAAAGACAGGAGGTGGAGAGGCTCCCGGAGTTTGAGACAGACATAGCAGCTGAAGAGGGAACCAGCAGAGGGAGAGGAGGGGCTCCAGGGGAAAGTGAGTCGGAGGGATGGCTCAGAGACACTTCCAGCGAAAACAGTGGGGAGGTGTCAAGACCTCCTATAGGGACACCCACTCCTCGCCGGAAACTGTCACGCCGAGAGTCCAGAAGACGTGTTTCCGTTAAGGAGCTTTTATGCTGGAAGAGATTCCGTAAGAGACCACTTTCGGATTCTGCTAGCGACTGACAGAGCCATGTCTGAGGGGCTCCGTCGCAGGCAGGGGTTTGCGCACTTGGCCAAACTCTGAGGGACTAGGATTTTACGCACAAGCAGCTCATCATCCCATCACAGCAATCCGAAAGTCCTCGAAAGCCAGCTTGTGCAGGGAGAGGCATCATGAGCGACCCAGCCGGAACCGGAGAAGCAGGAGCAGCTGGAGGGGGTCCAAGCCTGGAAGAAAGGTACAGGGCGTTGGAGATCCAGCTTGTGCTGCAAACGGCGAGGCTCGAGGAGAGGAGGGCTCAGGATGCAGAAAAGGGAAAAGAGAAAACCACCCAGCTCGCCAGGAAGGTACCACGATTGGTGCAGAAGTTTGGGGGAGATCCCAGGAATTATCATGCCTTTAGGACAGAGATGCAATATGCTCTCAATCTGCAGTTTGATGACTTCCCCGACGAGGAGTCGCGGGTGGCTTTTGTGATTGGCCATCTCGAATCGGGGGCGAAAGACTGGGTTAGGCCCCTGATGGCAGTCAATAATGAGATTCTAAAAGATACGAGGAAGTTTTTTCGAGCCATGGACCTGATGTTTTCCAGCGACATTGAGCAGGGAGTGGTGCGCAGGCAGCTAATGGCTTGCAAACAGGGGAGCAGATCTGTCCGTGAGTACTGGACTGAGTTTACCATGTTGATCCATAAATTGGGGTGGGATCTATCGGCGGAACCTATTCAAATGCTTTTCGAAGAAGGACTTTCTTCCGCGGTGAAAGACGAACTTTCCCGGGCGCCCAGGGCGGAGTCTATGGACCAGCTGACCAAATCCGCGCTGGCCATAGGAGCACGCCAGGAGGCGAGAGCGTTGGAGAGGCGGG